TATATGTTCTATGATTCTACGGATTTTGAGCTTCATAAATTTTTCAAAACTTTATCTACTCATTAAATCTCCATTATCGTAAAACCACAACCGACTAAGCGGTAAAGTCGCTGAAAACTAATAATTCGGTCCGGGCTTCGAATCCTGGCGAACGGGCTGGCTGCATGGGCTTTCCTTGCTAAACACACTGCGGCTATTTATCTAATGAGACGAATGCCTTGTAGGAGGTTTCCTAAGTAAAACTAGGTCGTATTCACATTTATACGGAAGAAAACCACGAAAGCGCTCATGTAGTTAACCCCTTAGATGACATTTAAGCTCGCCTTCCAGACGGTATAGTGGTTAGGGAAGCCGACTGCGATACCGAAGGATCCGGGTTCGAATCCCGCATAAGGCATCGATGTAAATTGTCTGTTTCTTCATAGAAGGTAACGGTGGCCGCCTATTGGGTACCTCCAGAATAAAACTACCGGAAAAAAAAAACATTTAAACTCGGTTAAAAGGCGTAAACGCATAACGTGAAGAAATAATTATTCCTTTGTACGGGAGAAGGCTTTGAGACTTAAATATGGAAGCGATAATGATGATGATAATGGGTTGAATTTTCGGAAAGTAATGATAGGTTTGAAATTAAAAGCATAGGTATGTAAAACAGAAGACGAAGATCATTTATATATACATAACATCATTTTTATTTATCGGGTCACTGCTTTTAAAATTTGTATATCCACTGAGTGTTGTTGTAAAGGGCGATTTGATGGGCAGTGAAACATGATTGCTAAGACTGACACATTTTTCACACTAAGTAATTCTTCGCAAGCAATCCTAAAATTCAGCAAATTTGCTTTAGATTTGCATGTTGTTTCGTAATTTTTGAATCAAAACTTTTCAAAAAATTTCAAAAAAAATTTGAATCAAACTTTTTTTGAATCAAAAACTAAAGTCAAACTTTTCTGCAGTCATTGCTTATGATAAATAATATATTTGTCTTTAAGCGTCCTCGCCCCCTTCCCTGTAAAAACAGATATATTCCTTGAATATCAGATATTTTTTGCAAAATAAAATGGCGTGAACAGAACGCTTGGGATAACTGGCACTATAAAATTTAAAAAGTGCATACACCTAAGTCTGTAACTGAACGGGAAGACGTATAAAAGAGGCTAATGTGACATTATAGGAGCAGCAAAAAACTATCCCATTCCTTACAAGAATGTCAGAAGATGCTTGAAAAAGGATGAATTACATAGATCCTAGTTACATCGGTTTCATAATGTTTTGTTGACTTCTGACATTTTTGTGAGGAATGGGAAATTTTTCTCCTATAAAATTTGACTTTAATCGCATAGCCCACTTTTGCAAGTTCCGATTCAACTATCAATCTGCTTTGCTTGATTTACTACAAAAATGATTTTTCCCCACCGTCGCACAGCCAGTTCATTTTCAATTAAGTAATTAAAAATTTTTGTAATACAAAATAATTTATGGCTGATGATTCCGCACCATTGTCAGCCCTAAGATGAAACGTCAACATGAGAGCACTGGTTCATTGATAAAAGAATAATACGTAAATGTAATATCTTCGGCTCTCGTTTTCTCGTTTGATTAATTTTGAAGTGGAAATAGCAATTAAAAAACGCCAAACAGTAGCAAACGCAGAAGCAATCTCTTTTGATATGGGGCACGACCCAGAACAACGGATTTACCTCGTAAAAATTCAAGACAGAAAACTCGTCCGATTAAGAACAAAAATATATAAAATAACAGTTTTCAAGCCTTCTAGACGAGTGTTGACAAATTCTAGACGAAAACAAACAGTGGAAGTTCAACATCATTTTATAAATGCATTTTACTAAAATAATGATTGAGAGCCCATAATGGCTAATGCCCGCCATTAGAAAAAGAACAAAATAATGATTAAAATATGCAAAATTAAATAATTATAGAATAGCGAAAGACAGTGGAAGTCAGATCCTGTAATTTCAAGCCATGATGATGTAAAATCATCATAGAATACTAATATGATACATCGTTAAAGAAACGAATAATTACGACGAATTTTCCTCATAATGAAAGATATTCAAGAAATTTATTGATCTCTGTATATTTGCATTTCTCTATCGTAGAGCAGAGATAGCTGTGTAAATTGAAAGTATTTTTAATTTCCTTTATATTTTCATTTAAATTTTATTTGTATTTTATTAGATAACACTGATTACCTGCATGATAAAGTCAAGGCTTTCGCTACCGTTAGATTACTGTTTCGAGACACCTTTGTGCAGGGTTTCCATTCTGCTTATGGCAGAGGTGGATTTATGGGGTCACGGAAGTCTCAATTGGAAAGGCCTCAGCATTCCAAAGAGGCCCAAAATCATTAACTAAGTTTTAAAAACTCGTAAGCATATCCTATGGCTAAAGATGAAGTGTCCCCAAAAGGTTCGGATGAGACTGGCTTCTAACTTCCTAAATCCACTACTACATAACGGAAAAGATTTTTGAGATATGACCGAGATAAGTCTTCGGATCAGGTGTTCGGTCACTACACTAATCTGCTAAGATCAGCTTCAGGAAAAATGTGCAATGAGTTTGCGAAACAGTTGTGTTGTAAATGCATGCAGTTGTTATGTAAAGTATGAGGTAAATCGAAGACAAGCTGAAATATGAATTAATAATAAATGTAACTTAAAATGGTGTTGTTCGTTTTAGTCTATGAAAACAGAAACACGAAATGTTGCACCTGCATATTACAATAGACATTAAAATTTTTCATTGGTCATATACTATGCTCTGGATATTCATTCGCTATCGAATCAGTTTAAAGTCTTCTATACATATTTATTTAATATTCAGAAACAAAATATAATGCATCGAAATTAGAAGAAATAAATTTATTTATAAAAGGAGTTCGAATGGTTAAATGCCAGTTGAAAAGACACGTTCCTGCATTGTGGTTTCTACTATGGTATTACCATAGAAATATATATTTAAATAGACTTACTAATGTTTATTATACATTACTATAGAATTACCACAGTAATGCCTATTTAAATACATTATATATACTTAAAACATCCCAGGCATTTATATAACAGAATCAACCATAATGTAAAATCTTTATCGTGAAACTCTATTCAGAAATAAATAAGCAAATAAAAATAGGGAAAACAAAAACAAAGGGGAAAAAAAGGGAAAACTCGTTTTAAACACATGAATGATCGCCCTTAAATGCTTCGTACTGAAAGTGCATCGTACGGAAATTCCATTTGACAGGTAATTTTCCTTTTACGTTTATTCGTACGGTGAAAAAAACTGAAATCCATTCACAAATTTCGTAAAGCAGTAAACAATGGTGTAAGTTATTTCAAATATTTTGCTCTGCAATTAAAATTATTCATATTTGTTTCACGTTACTTGCAGCAAACCTCGAGTTAACATGAGTTTAGAGTATGAAATTATATTTAATTCGTCGGTAATGTGGGCTATAATGCGGTAAATTGCAGTTGCCAATCTTGCAAAAGAAAAACTTTATCTTTCAAATTATAGCTGTGTGTTATATCAGCGTAATACGCATTTAAAAAAACATCATTTTTATTATATGTTATTTTTATTTTCTGTTTTAATAATATAACATATGAATACTATTTATAATATCTCTAACTGCTAATTTTTACAAACATTAATCCATATCTAAAATTAATAAAACATTTTAATACCATAACGAATTTCTATATATTCAGTTATACAACACTTGTTTATCTGTTGAATTACAATGAGTTCATTAATTTTTCCCCAAAGGTACAATTTTATTTTATGATAGCACTTAAGTTCATTTTTTGGTGTATTTTAAAACGCGGACTAAAATCATATGAATTACCATTTCTGCTAAATTCGTACTAAATTTGTTTCAACTGTTATATTTGGCATAAATTAAGAGCATGCTAGAAAGCTAACGCTAAAAAGTTTTACCGAATTTTATTAATTACTGTTTAGTGTACAGTTATAAAATTCATCTACAGCTTTATTATAAATGAATATTTACGGATCTGAATTTTTATGTTACACATAAATAAACGACAGTGTCTTCGTAATTTGAAATAAAATACATGATTATAAATACTTTTCAATACTTATTTTTTTTTATAATATTAGCTTAAAAACCATTAGCATTCGTAAACCACTTTTAAAATAGGGATCGCGAATACTAATTTTTCTCATAAAATATGTTTTAAGCATGATTGGTTAGGTTAGTTAAATGATTAAGACACAGCACTCGAGGGATGTCTGCCTAACAAAGACAGCCTTTGTGGAGAACTTTTTAAGGAAAACTGATTCTTATACACATTACACATGGAAAAAATCCACGAAAACTCTACGCAGACGTCTCGTTCGCAGGGATTCTTTAAACATAAATGAAAAATATATTGCAATCCAAGAACTTCAAATTGCGCTTTAAGATTTCCAAAAAAGAGTTGAAATATATTAAAATATTTTTAATTAAAAATTTAAGAAGAAACGCATTTCATTTTCGTATTTTAATTTAACTCTTGAAACATTTTAAGTATTAAATTAAACAATAAAAACTGATCTACCAATTTAAGAGTTAATACTACGGAATTTAACATGCAAAATACAAAATCCTATGTTTTGAAACCATATGCTCCAAATAGCTCTGTCAAACGTCAGATGAAATCTTTGCTAAAATATTATTACATCGTAAATTAATGAATGTGCGTTTCGTGATAATAACAATAATAATAAAAGTTTTAATTATTCAAGAACGTATATGTGATTTTTTCCCAACTGAATCGCTTGTGCACGGGGCTTGCAGGAGAAGTAGCAAAAATTTCAGTTTTGAAATAATACGAAATATCCATAGTAAAAAGAAAGAAACCTCTTTAGAAGTTTTAAAAAGTACATTACATTTTATACATGCTGATATAAAGTATTTACATAAAGTTATAATCGTCTGTAAAATGTAAAATCAAAATAATGCATTTCCTTACCTAAGAGACACATAAGTGAACCACATAAACTGAATGGCCATGTTGCTTGTTCCCTGCTAATATTAAATACATGTATGACGGATACATATATGACTCCTGCCGATCTATGCAATCCTACAGTGAGAAAACTGAGCCAGAAGCATGCAAATGCAATACACCATGAGTACAGGGGTTCCCGCTTCCGCTCCACTACAGCTGGAGTGTTTTCCATGTTTGTCGTTCGTTTCGCTTCTGACTGAAGACAAATGTCGTATGCTCGAATTATAGCGGAGCTAGCGCCACGAACCGGCAAGCAGCGATAAGGCGGCGAAGGACTTTTCGGTGTCGTAAACTTATGTCTAAGTCTAGTAGATGCTCATTTTTTGTATTTTCTTCTTATAGAGAGTGCTTGAAACGTCATGTATATCCTTGAAATTTGATCGTATGGATTATGTAAACATCGATTGACGAGAGATAAAATCAGGGCAACAAACATTAAAATCAAGATTTAAAAGTTGCTAATTTTTTTTTTTTTTTTCTGCCTCGGGAAATTCTGAACATGCAGAATTCTACATCTTTCATGTAGATCACCAGTGCTTTCTTTCTTGTTTATTAATTTTCTATCCTTTTAATTGTGATTAATCGCTATACTCATTCAAAGGATTTCCCGGTTTTTAAATTCGTGAGAAAAATATTGTTCTGGTTTTATTCAAATTTAACATTGGTATTTTTATTCGAGATTTTTTATGTTCTACTTTTCTTTTTTAAATTCATGGCAAAATAAATACCTTTACGATAACATTCGTAGTTCTACTATTTTATGAAGAAATTCAGTAATTCCAAAATCTTTCCTAGCTATAGGGCGGTTCCTAGGCCATTGGTTGCCCACGTACTTTACTAGAAAGGTCGCCTCTAGGCCATTGGCTGCCCGCGTACTTTCCTAGGATTGCCGCCCTCAAAATAAAAAAAAATAAAATAAATGCTCAATGATTATTAAAATTTGTATTTCATATTCATTAAGTATTTACATATGACAAACTGTATAAAAAGTACTTACATATGATAAGTACTTACGATGAATTTAATAAATTTAAAATATTTAGTTGTGGTATCTCAAGAGTCCGGCCGCCCCTGATTTTCGCCACCCGCGTACACTGCACCCCCACTAGGAACAGCCCTGCCTAAGGACAGCCCTAACTAAGTATTCTAAAGATAATATAAATGTATAAAGGTATAAAGGTCTGGTTTCAAGCCTGAGGCATCATGGGCAACAGCGCAGAACAAGCTATTCTCACGAGCGGTGATGTTGTAGTGCGGTGACAGAGGTAAAATACCAAAATAGTGTACTGCGTTGTGAAACGTAAGAGCCACGGGGGGGGGGGGAAGGGACGGCAATTTTGAGCATTTTCATACGATTACTTAGAATCAATCATCTGATTTTCAAAAGATGTGAAAAGTTCTTGATTCCTTTTAAGAGCAGATAATCTGAAGAGCTATGGGTTGATGCTCACAATTAAATTGGAACAAATACTTAACCTGTGAGGAAAGCTATTAGAATTCAAAGAAAGAAATACTCTATTACTGGTATTCCGCTGACGCTTTAATAGATCCAGAGAAGCAATTTCAAGAAACTGCGTCAGCTTCGAGCATTTCCTTCAGAAGCAACAATTTTCAGTGAAACAACAATTTGACCAATCCATGGTCACTTCATTACTATTTCTAAAACCTAGATAGGATCCGACTGGAGGAAAATTGCAAAGATTTAAAATATTTAAGTACAACAAGCACCTATCAGTTTGGTATTGATGTTGGAAAGGGGGCTCAACAATTATAAAAATTACAGGATCTCATTTCAGGAGTGGCATAAACCAACAAAAGAAGTTTCTTCTGGCAAACAGAAATGGGTTGAACGTCGTAATTTCACCATTAGTCGTACAAACAGTCTCACCACATTAACTGTGCAACTCCAATTTTGACAGCGAAATCATGGGACAAGGATTTTCTACTCTTCTTCCTCGATTACCAAGCCATTCGAAAGAACTTCGACTCGCCAGTATTTTAAGTGTCTGCCTATACACACCCATGTTTTTCCCGAGAAATACATTTCCAACACCCATGTCTTCCGCGGGATTCGAACCTGGGCTCAACAATACGTTAATATCACCAACCGCACAACGTTAGTATCGCCAACCGCTGTAAAATGACAATTAGAGGAAGCAGCTGTCTTCTCCATCGTGTAGAAAACAACGCAAAGAGAAAACGTCGTCGTCGTCGTACGTTGTAAGAGACAAGAAAGCAAGGAAAAAAACATCGAAGTTATAAAATATCGAGGTTTAAAAGTCCTCGAAAATTAAATGGGTCAAAAACTGGAAACTTTAAAACGTAGAAAATACCGTTATGAACGCAGGAAAAAGTATCGTGGTTAAAAAAAAAAAAATGCACCTACAAATCATCGTATAGCAATTAAATTTTAAATTTATGTAGTTAACTATTATTTAATTAACTTCTTTTATTATTATCTCTCTTTAAAGTCATTATTTAAATAATCTCTTTTATAAAGTTACATTGATAGTTTTTCCTGAAAAGTTTAGTCTAAATATCTTTAATAGTTAACTACATAAGTTTAAAATTCTATTAACTATACTACCTAGCATTAATTTTCTACTTATTATCAGCTGTTTAATGCTTAAGTTTCCATCTTGATTTCCGGCAAAAATTGTTTAGTTAATTAAAAAAGAATGTAACATAAAGGTAAAATTATTCATCATTCCTTCTTGCTCTCACAGATGTGAATTATTGATGTAATTATGTGAATATTGATTTAGAACTAAAGCGTTAGAAACACATGTCTGCAATGTTATCGTCATGGGATGATGATATGTAGGTGTTTTATTTTTTACCACGATATTTTCTATAAAGACGCTTTAAAACACCTGTTTTAAAACGAATATTAAATTATGTTTTATACTGTGATGTTTTCTCCTTGCTTTCTTTTCTCCCACGACATTCTGTATCACGAGTTTTCGCTTTGTTTTCTTTGCGCCGTTTTCGTCCTCCATATTTTTGTCGCTATGCTTTCACCTGTGATCGTTATTTTCCCACAAAATTAAAGAATTTTTGTAGTTTTTACCATGTGCGTTGTAAATGCTGGCCAGTTTACCTTCTCATATTCCTCTCCAAAACATTTATGCAAGAGTAAATGATCCTCGAATTTGCGCAAGAACTGTGAGCAAAATTAGAACTTTTCTAATTTCGGATTTCTTAGTATACAACATCTGACTCTGGTCAGACAAACCAATACTTATATTTCCATAGTATATTAATGTCGATGAACTATTTAACAGCGGTCTTCTAAAAATGATTTTTTCGCGTATACTTATATTATCTCCCATGCCGTTCTTAAGCTTTAAGATCATTATATGCATTCAAATAGGTTGTAGAGACATTAGTTGTTTTTTTGGAAGCAGAAAAGATGAAAAATGAGCAACGCTTTCGCCGGCAATCGAACTACGGACCTCTGGAATATGCGCCCAGCATGCAGACCACTACCAAGAAAGGCACAGTAAGAAAGCGGAAGAAATACCTTATAAGGTAAGAATCTCGCACAGAAAATCATATGATGAGAAGCGGCAAAAAATTTCATGCAAAACATTTTATAGCTACCTATCATTAATCGTTTCCCTCTGAGATAATATAAATAGATACATTGTATAAGCAAAAGATGCGCTAAAAGTCCGAGATTGAATTTAAAGAGTTGCCGTAGCAAATAATATTAGATTAAATAGAATATAAGATCTGGGGGCTACTTTACTCGAAATTCAAACTATTTCCATTTGTTTAAATTGTAAAGTATTACTGCGTCCTCTTACACCTGATGTCGGGGTATAAATTGTTAGACGTCTAGCTGGCAGTTGAAAGATCTATAGTTCGAATTCCGACAAGAACACGATTGATTTATCATGTTCCTTGGCTGTAGCAATTCTAATAAGATTCTATGATGGAACCCGAACTAAAATGGGGTAAAAGTCGCCATCTCTTTGTTTTAATTAGCTGGGACTTGTACCTTTCCCCATTCGCTCTCTAAATGGGGAAGAATGCAAGGAATTACTTCATTTCCTCATGCCTAACCTCATGATATTGAATATTAGTACATCCATTGAGCAAATAGAATTCATTACTCAAACTCCAGCTAAATTTTCACTTCTCTTGCTTCAAAATCCTGATGACAGACGCTATATAATAATATAAAACGTTTTTCATTTATTAATTTTTCTGATTTTTGTTTTCTTGTTCCATTTGTATTTTACTTGCACATATGTTTTGGATTTGCATTTAAAAAATTCAGTTTTACAGTTCACGGCAACGGAAAAAAACAACTTTTAAGAATAAAACAAGTTCACGAAGAAAGACAAAAAATAAGGTTAGTTTCAAAGTATTTTCCTGTCGCATTACAGGGTAGCCAAAATGCAATGTCAGATGTCTGCATAGATGCCACTATTATGTTCTTATTCTGACAGCTGAGAATTTAATGTACAATTTAACTGAGAAACTGGATCTAATTAGGATTATGTTTTCCATATTTTTCACCCCTAAATACATTTATCTTATTTTGTAGATTATTGAATTAAAGGGAAATCTTAAATTTTTCAATAAATTCTAAACACGTACCCCCAAATTTAGTTACCATTATTCAAAATAACATTATTTCATTCATTTTGAGTCTAACTACACTAAATTTGAGAAAGAAAATTTATCTTTAAATAATCAGTAGAAGAAATATTACCCATTTATAATGTTCTCATATTCATATGTTAAAGACTATGACATTGAGTTTTTAAATTCAATTATTAGCTCTAGAATTTTGCTTAAAAAGGTGATTATTACGAAAATTATTTTCTAAGCAGCAGCTACAAATTACTTAGCAATCATAATTCAACTAGATCATATTATTTACATTACATTTCTGTACTTCACAGAGCTGGGATTCACCAGCGGCAGAGCGGTAAAGTCGCTGAACACTGGTAGTTCGGTTCGAGGTTCGAATCCCACGAAAGGACTGGCTGCAGGAGCGTTTTCGCGGTTTTCCCCATATGTAACGTCTATATGAGCCAATTTCCCTTAGAAAGTCCTCCACGAAGGCATCCCTCGTCTTAGGCAGATAACCCTCGAGGCTTTGCCGTAATTAAAAAAACCAAACCTATATTAAAGCTGGATGCACTGCGCTAGTTTAAATCCCAAATTACACCAGGCGAATTATAACAGAAACACAGAAGTGTGCATA